TCATGTGGTCGGGATGGGTAAGAATAATCCAATTTTTAAAGTCTTTGGTGCAGTACCCGCCGAAGAAGAAGGGGAATACATCCAGTCCTTTGGAAATACCAGGTAGAGAAGAACCTGGCTGTCTTTAATTGGCGCTATTCGGCTATAATCGCGCAAGCAGTGTCCACGCCAATAAAGTAAGTTATTCCGTCTGAGCCCATGGATTTTGAGTATTTTACTTTCCCGATAACCCCTGAACTTCCTCTCTGGAAAAAAACAATTAATCGCGTCTCGCTTTTTTCTTCATCTTCTATGAATTCCAGGCCTAAAATATTCCGACCATTTTCGTTTTTATTTTTTCTTAAATTAACAACACAAAATCAAACCGCAGACTTGTTGATACCACCTATTTCGCTGGTAACAAAATTGGCAGGGTGACAGTGACCTCAGAATTCGAAAGTAATTAGAAAGCTTAACTTAATTTTTTTGTTTAGGTTAATTTTCAGTAACTTTTAGATAATGAATTGAGCCCGAGCCCTTCGAATGGCAGTGCGCAATGCTAACTACTCCGCTACCGTGGCCGCCACCTATGCTATTAGGTTGCTCCAAAAGAAAATCAATTATGTAATTTCCATCTTGTTGGATGACCTTTCGCCATCTTTCCGGCAACATTATTATTCAACGCTCATAGAACTTCTAGACTTTATCTGCGGAAGCCTGAACCAAGTTCGATTTTATAGCATTGTAATTTTTGAAGGTTCTACCATTTAATGAGTTCTTCAAAGATCGAAGCGAAACGTAGTCTGGCGGTGCAAGGTCAGGGATATATGGTGGATGCATCAACAGTTCCCAGCCAAGCTCTCTCAGTTTTTGGTGAGTGACCGAAAATATGCTCGGTCTAGTATTATCCTGATAGAATAAGACACCTTTACGATTGACGATTCTGCTTCTTCCGCTTCTCGTTTTATGGGTGTGTTCAATTTGTCTAGTTGTTCACTTGTTCACTGTAGACATCCGAATGAATCGTTTGGTTCCATGGAAGCAGCTTAAAATATGCCTTCAATATGTAATTATTGTGAAAGAAATACATATATATATATTTGAGTAGTTACTGCAAATATATAAATATATATATATATATATATATATATATATATATATACACATAAATTTATGTTAAAAAGCAAATCATATCGCATTATAAATTGTATGCGTATGTGTATTGTACGCATATGAAGATACACTGAAAAAATATACAATATACAATATTCATACATATATGCATAAATACATATGTACAATAAATATGTATGCATGTAGTTACCTAAATGGGTAGAAAAGTGGTAAAAGCAAATGTATTGAATAAACTAAACAATTAAAATGCATAAATTGTAAATGCGGAAAAACAAAAACATACACTATTGACTATACATACATACCCACAATAAAATAGTTTAATTAGCAATCTGTAGTATAATATAAATGATGATTACGGAATATTAAAAGCTAAATAAATATAATTTTACGTTAAAATAAATATATATACTTATTTTTTGTTTTATTTAAAAATTCAAAAAGCACTTAAAATTAATTCACACTTTTTTTTGAAAGGGAAAAAATATATTGTGAACGAAATTGTCAAACAATAATGTATTAGATGAGTGCATAAGTTCGTGCCCGATTTTAAGTGCAAACTAAAATAGAAATTTTTGTCTTCGTGTGCCTGTTTCCATGTTCTTTTGCATTGAACATTGTTGTACAGGATCCCTTTTTCATCACCAGTCACGAGCCGATCCAAAAAAGGTTCGTTTTTGATCCGTCGAGGCAAAGAAATTGCTGTTGACATACGGTCCACTTTGTTTTTTTCACTCAACTGANAAGGTTCTACCATTTAATGAGTTCTTCAAAGATCGAAGCAAACCGTAGTCTGACGGTGCAAGGTAAGGGATGTATGGTGGATGCATCAACAGTTTCCAGCCAAGCTCTCTCAGTTTTTGGTGAGTGACCGAAGATATGCTCGGTCTAGTATTATCCTGATGGAATAAGATACCTTTACGATTAACCAATTCTGCTTCTTCCGCTTCTCGTTTTATGGGTCTATTCAATTTGTGTTTGGTTCCATGGAAGTAGCTCAAAATATACCACACCCTTCCAATCCCACCAAACTGGCAGCATAATCTTCTTGTGGTGAATATCAGCCTCTGAATTGGTTTGTAGATGCTGGGACCATCATCGTTTTCGATCTCATCTCCAGTTATGATTTACTTCAACAACAGATCATATTCATTGCGTTTAAAATTCATATGAAAAGCGTTGAAGCGGCTTGTTAAATGAATTTTTTCCATTTATGTGGTACATAAACGTCAAGAGTTTTTACCAATCCAAGATGTCGTATAGTTACATTCGTTTAAAGCCTTAATATCGTCATCATCAACTTCACTTGGCCGATCTGAACGTGGCTTATCTTTGAGTGAAAAATCTCCTGAAAGGAGATAAGGAACTAGAAATCACTCGATAAGGAACAACTTTGACTGAAAACTCGTTTGGTAAGTGTGCGCAGGAGACACCAAGAGGTTTCATGATATGTATGCTTTGGTACTAAAGGCGGTGTTGTGAAAGGCTTGTCTTTGCCTGGTTAGTGCAGCTGGTCCTCCTTCGCCTAGCTGGTGAAAAGGTAGCCAATGATTTCGCTGATTAGTAGTTTGCAATTTTCGTGCGGTGAAGAACAGGGAAAGGTCGTAGAAGTAGCTGTTTACCTTCGAACAAAGGCTATTAATATGCTGGCCAAACGTCAATATCGTTCACCGCTTGCTCGTGGAAAAGGCATCGAAATATAGAAATTGCATAAAGGGCATCACCCTGCGGAACCCTTATAGGAGTACAGAGTTTTGGACTTGAATTTCTTCTAATGACTATCGCTTAAGTAGTTTATGGTCTACCTCTTCAAATCAATTCAATGTTCAATAATAGCACCGCGTGATTGACTACCAGTGCTACCAGTACTTAGATTTTGGTTAACCGCGGTTTGCCGAGGTGCTTAAGGCGTTAAGTATGTTGGGGGAAATACGGTAGCAATAAGGTAGCAAGTGCAACTTTTGGTCCTGGCTTCCCCCGTTTTTGGTAGCGGGACCACTTTAGTTCCACATGTCGGGTATTAATAGCATACTTTTTCCGTCAGAGGCATGTATAAATTTTTCATTGGAGATGGTTTCTACGTGAGTATCAGATCCATCGCATAGTTTGATAGACATTTATTTAGCTAGCGCTCGCAGCCGCATTTCCGGAGAACAGACGCTGCAATTAGACTTCAGCTCACTCTAGGAACTGAGTATAACCCCCCACTGTAACTGCATGCAGAGAAGCCCCTCACTACATTGTGGTAGAAACAAGGACGTAGGCAACAGCTGATGAGTCGGCGTTAGAAGTTTTCAAGATATAGGTTTTGTGTAAGATTTATTGTCCTCTACATGTTGGGAACGGCGGGTACCACAGCCGATGAATAATGAGCTGTATGATATATACGGCAACATTACCATAGTTCAGCGAATCAAGAAGCAGCCGCAGTTCTGGCTACGTCATGTGGTCGAGATGGGTAAGAATAATCAAATGTTTAAAGTTTTTGGTGCAGTACCCGCCGAAGAAGAAGGGGAATACATCCAGTCCTTTGGAAATACCAGGTAGAGAAGAACCTGGCTGTCTTTAATTTGCGCTATTCGGCTATAATCGCGCGCAAGCGGTGTCCACGCCAATAAAGTAAGTTATTCCGTCTGAGCCCATGGATTTTGAGTATTTTACTTTCCCGATAACCCCTGAACTTCCTCTCTGGAAAAAAAAATTAATCGCGTCTCGTTGAGCTTGACAAATAATAAAATGATGGTGGAAAGGATCGTATTTTTTTCTTCATCTTCAATGAACTCCAGGCCTAAAATATTCCGACACATTTTCGTTTTTATTTTTTCTCATATTAACAACACAAAAACAAACCGCAGACTTTTTGATACCACCTATTTCGCTGGTAACTAAATTGGCAGGGTGACAGTGAACTCAGAATACGAAATAGTAACCAAATTTACTGAATGGTATTTTTTAATACCAAAATAAATTTTATTACCTCGACAGAATAAGCTTGTTAAAGAGATGTTTTTGGAATGAAACAAATAAATTATAAATTTATATTTCAGCCGAGATATATACGTACATACGTATGTACATATGTGTTTATTACGAAATTTCTAGGTTCAAGTTGCTAAGAACCGCGCATTAACTTACAAAATTTTAACATTTTTTAACCAAAAATATAAATAAAAATATTACATTTTAAATTAAAATATCACTTAAACTAAGTTTTAACTGGGTTTCAAATAAAATAAATAATATAAATTATTGATTATGACTAAGTTAAATGCATACCTAATGGTTTGGATATAAATAATGAAAATGTTCGATTGTTTTAATACATAAATACGAAAGAAACGCAACGTTTCTAACGTCCGGAAAGCAACAATTCAGTAATTTTTTATAAAACAATGGGTTCGTCTTCAACGGACTTTTTGTTCTTACGACGACGACTTGATTTGATTTTACTAAGGACATTGTATGCCTGTTGAATTTCAATAAATCGTTGATTGGCAGCCGCTTTCAATTTCTCATCTTTTACCTTATCTGGATGGAATTCTTTGGATAGCCGTCGGTACGCTGATGTTATTTCGGCTTGAGAGGCTGTTGCACTTACACCCAATACCTTGTAGGAATTACGTTCGCCATCCACATCCATACTTTCGAAGATCTCCTTCCATGTCTCATACCAGCCGTGATGTTGTGCATATTGGTATGTATCTTTCAGAGCTTGCGTGAAATCCGTCCACCAGGTTGAGGTGAGAAAATTACGCAAAGCTTCGTGTATGGGCACCTCGCCGCCTTCCTCGTCGGAAATTGTGCCATTGAAATAGAGAAAACAACCCCAGAATGAAAAGTAAATCAACAGCGCAGCTGTAAATTTAAAGGATCTTTTCACGAGTGTATGTCTTTTTGGTGGTGTGCGTAGCCACTGTTTTGAATAACTATCGAAAACTAGTGCCGACACTAGTGCAGTTAGTAGCAATGAATATGTTTCGTCATAAATTAGATAACGCGTTGGATATATGAGAATGGCAGCAATTAAACAATGCCACCAAACTCCACGTTCACGTCCAATATTACCAACGGTCCATACACCTATAGATATAAAAACTGGTATAAGCCAATGAAGGAAACCCCAATCAATGCCGGCAAAAATCGTTTCCGGTATAGCCATGAGCACCACTTGCCCAAAGAGATAACCAATCATCACCTCGCCCACAAATCGCTTTGCGGAGTAGGGCGGTCGACGATTCGCTTGTAAGCGGGCTACAAATGATTTAATGAAGGCTGGATCTTCATTAGCATCACGCACATATTCTGGTATTAATGCGATTTCCGCCAGCCAACCGACACCAAAATATCCACCCAGGGTACACCACCAGATGAAAGCATGTCGATCACGATGCAAATAGAGATGATGTAGTCCAAATATGCCACCAAAAAGCCACATTATATACGCAATTATTACCGATTTTTGAGGTGGCATTGTATTTGCATCGGTATGTGGAGTATTGCGGCCATTAACAACAGGTTTGCCGTTAGTTATTGACTTACCATTCATTGTGGCGAAAGTGGTGTCGGAGGTCTCCTTTGCATTCTCTTTCGACATATTTGCTTTAAAAAAATAATAATAATAATGCAAGTTAAAATAATTTTAATTAAAAATCAATAAAAAAAAATATTAAAAACAAAAATTATAACTTTGAAAAGCAAATGATAAGCCAATAAAAAATTAAAAAAAAAAAGATTCTGTATTTTTTTAGAAAAATTTAATATTTATATAGGAAACTTTTACAAAATATAAAGATATTGTTAATACGCATTTGTATGTATGTACACATTTAAAATAATTTGAAATGCGCTGGATTACGTGTACTTATTAATTGGAGCGTTGAGAAAACTCTTTTAACCGACTTTCTCTTTTCACAAATTCAACACACGCTTCATTTTAATTCTAAAGTGTGTATGTTTGTGTTCGCAATTTCTTTATATTGCAGCAGTAAGTAAACAACCAGAAGTAAAACAAAAAAATTTAAAATAAACTAACTTTTAAAATTCCTCACAGTGTTACTTATAGTTTGTTTACGTCTGCCCTTACTTTCTTGCTTTATTTCCAAAATTGTGCCAATACCTTTATTTTTGTTGTTCAAGAGCATTTATGCCAATCCGTGAAAGCGGCTTAAAGGGCTTACTTGTTGTTGTATCTCATTCGCTAGGTAATTTTTTTAAATATACGCCTTCTCTTTTAAAGCCACTTTATTGCTTTGTAATTTTTCACAAAAAAACTAAATTATAATTAACTAATCATTTCTCCACTTCAAATTATTTTCAAAAGTTCAAGAGTGAAATGTATAAGAACTATCACACCTGTGGCTTGCTGCAATGTTTAGTATGTGTATCAAGTGTAATGTTCTGTTTTACTATCTCCACCTCTTTTCCAAAATAGAGTTACTTTTTGTAGTAGTGAAAGGTTTTCTAAACTCTTTTGTTATTCTCCGCTCGGAAAATGCAACACTGTGCCTTTAGTTAGGCATTGATTAAACACGTTTGTAAAATGTTTAATAGTTTTTGTATTGAACATACGCTTAAATAACTCATATTAATGTAAATAGTAAGCGGCGAATATTGTGTTTGTAATTTCTATCCAATTCTTCATTGATATTATTAGCTACATAAAGAATTTCATAAATGAAATGGTTATTCAATGTCGTGCTTGCTTAAACACAAAGGACAGCGCATTTATACGCATGGATTCGCACGTAGCGGACGGCGTCGATATCTATAGCTGCTTCACCTTATGCACACAATTAAATGCGTCACTCGACGACGGTCTCCCCGGAGTTCTCTGCAGTAATTGCTCGCAGGATTTACAAATATGTTTTAATTTTGTACAAACGGCGCGACAAGTTGATGGTTTGCTGCGAAACACCTTATGCGAAAAGTCGATGGCTGGTGAGGTAGTAGAACCATTGGAAACTGAACGAACCGATACTATGGAGCCGATATTGGATGTGGTAGATAGTGAAGTTGATGGTTGTGTGGTAGAAGAATTCATAGACGACGAGCCTGTTTTGGAAGAAGTCATTGATGATGATGATGATGAAAGTAATGGGATTGAACTAATGGAGGTAAGGTTTGTGAGGATTTATTAACTATTATATGGTTTGCAAATATATTTAATATTTCAAATAAAAATATAGGTGGAGAAAAGTGAACTGAATATTTGCGAGGGTTCTTATGAAGACTTAGAATTTATTGATGAAAAGCTCGTGGGCACCACTATCAAGCTTGAAGATCAGATCCATGAAGAGCTGGATGTACCTTGCAAAGAAAAAGATTACTATGCTGAAGATGAAAATGATGATGAATATCGAAGAGAATACAAAGAAAATGAAGATGAACCGGACAACCCATCAAAGGGCTCAAAATGGAAATGTATAGAATGCAAACTTATTTTGTGCGGCGATGTCTCTTATGAAGGTCATATGAACATGCATCGCTCATTACGACCCTATAAATGCACGTTCTGTATGTGTGCTTTTCGCTGCAAGGATGTACTTGAACACCACAATCAACGCCGCCATCGGCAAGAAAATGAAGGCGAATGTTCGCCGTGTAAGTAAAAATCGAAATCCCCAAAATTAAATTGGAAAAATATGTTTGTTTATATTTTTTTTTTAATTTGAATTTTACAGCAAATAAAAGTTGCGAAAACGAGGGCGAAAGCACAAGTAAGAAAAGAGACAAAATTTAAATAAAATTGATGTTTTACATATACTGCCCTTTTCCCTTTCCAGCAAATTTCAGTTGTGAAAAGTGTACAAAAACTTACGAAACACTAGACGAAATTCAAGAGCACAGATATTTGGTACATCCCGAAACATATCCTGTACAGTGCAGGTTGTGCCCACATGAAACTCCATTCACTCGTGTTAAGTTAATTGATCATTTTCGTAATGACCACCCAGCAGAACATCGAAAATACTTTCCGACTGTGGGTAGACCGATAAATGAACCCACAAAGCCAACGCAATGGCAATGTGAAATTTGCAATTGTTATGTTCGTTCTGAGGTAGCTTTGCGCGATCATCGACACACTCATCAAAATGAACGGCCACATGAATGCCAATTTTGTTCTAAGCGTTTTGTTACAACCAGCAATTTGCGTCAACATATGCGTGGTGTACATACAGAGGAATATGAGAAGTTAATTAGTGAGGGTGGAGATACTATCGTGCAATGTGATTTATGTAAGAAGCAACTACTTCGACGAAATCTTGAAAAACATTTGGCGTTACATGTTAAAAAGGACCAAGATGCGAAGGAGACACAAACGAAATTTCTCTGCGCTTATTGCTGTAAGTAATTAATCTTTGATTTATTGTTTTAAAATAAGAATATATAATATCCATATTAAATATTTAACGAGGCTGCGACAAGAGTTGTCATATTAACTCTATTGTTTGGCATTAAGAACTTTGCAGAGTGTAGGAATCTACTTTAACATTTGAAACTTGCTAAACTACAAATACAAATGATTCAGTTCATTGGTCTGAAATTTTACCGTGGACCTTTTAGGTTTACCAACAGCAATTAAGGAAGATCTTAAATGTTGTTCAGTTGAATTAGTTTATGGTGAAACACTGAGACTTCCGAGTGAACTTATTGTTCCCAATAATAATTATTATAACGAAATCGAAAATGAAATTCTTTCAAAATTAAGAAAAACATTTCTCACTTGTTCGATGGAAAGTAAAACATCATAATAAATAAAATAGTTTAATTTCCAAAAAAAATTTTAGTACTTATGAGTATATATTTATTTCTTAAAGTTACTCATAAGTCTAATCTTCAACCACCTTATGAAGGACAATTTAAAGATATCTCAAATCAAATAAAATATTTAATTTTTTTTTAATTATTTAGGCAATTCAAAAGCTTTATTCTATGTCTTATGTCATATTTCGATAATCATTAAATATACGACACTTGTGAGCACCCCTAAATCGTTATATGTCATATTGTGTAATATTTCTATGTTTAATTGTGAAAAATAAAGAATAAAAAACGCCACGAGAAAGTGAGAAAAATAAAATTATAAATTACATACATATAAGTGTTTTCCGCCGAGCTCCTCCTCCATGTTGTGGTTTTGCGTCTTGATGTTTTCCAACAAATGGAGGGACCTACAGTCTATACTAAGCCGTCTCCGAACGGCTGATGGTTCTTTTTATGAGGAGCTTTATTTCTTGTCAGAAATACACTCGGAGGTGTTGACATTCCCTGTCGAGGAACGACCGCAATTAAAAAATGTACCTAAATGTTTTATTTAAATAAATTTTGCTTATAGAATTAAATTTTACATGGAAAACAACACAAGTGTTTACGTGATAGTCATAAAAAATTAGACAATATGACGATATGACACAATATGACACCTTGTGAATACCCTAATTATAATTTATATTTTTAAACATAAAGCTTTTTTGAAATAAATTTTGTTCAACAAATAAAATATAAAATATAAAATAAATGTGTATATACATATATATTCATTTATCTATAAAGATTGTGATCTTAACCAATAATATAAAATTTTCTACTTGTACGCTATTTGTTGGTAATTGATGTTTAAGGTCATAAAATTGGTGTTTTTTATAGCTCAGGGGCAAATACTTCGCCAACAGTAAATATTTTCCAACTCGTCCGGTGTCATAATTTTAAAGTTAGATTAAACCTAGAATAAACCTTTTGATATGTCACATACTATATATATATATATATATACTAAATATTTTCTTAGCTCGCGAGTGTAAAAGCCAAAAAACTCTTAATCAACATGAAAAAAAACATCAAGAGGAATCATCGGACACTATCTATATGTGTGCTGACTGTGATCGTTCCTATGCCACGCAACATTTGCTGCAGCAGCACCGAAAACAAGCGCACAAAGAACGAGATCATGTCTGTCCAATATGTGGCAATGCATTCAAATTGAAAAATCAATTGGTCAATCATATGAAACTGCATTTGGAAAAGAATATCAAATGTCCACACTGTGAGAAATGTTATGCACGTAGATTCGATTTGGATGTTCATATACGCTCACATACCGGGGAACTGCCTTTTGCTTGTCACCTTTGTGAAAAACGTTTTGCCATAAAAGTGCGATTAACGTATCATTTACAGAAACACTATGGCGTTAAACATCGTTGTAAAGAATGTGGTTCCGAATTTAATTCAAAACAGAAACTCAAAGCGCATAGTTATAAGCATACGGGAATGCCATATCGCTGTGAAAAATGTGATGGACATGGATTCGCCAATCGGGATGTGTGAGTATTGAATGAGATTTCAATTTTTAGTATATAAATTTACGTCTTCATTATTTATTACAGTTTCAAACGGCATTTACAACGAGTGCATTGCACTAGTATGAGTGATGAAGAGTTGGTTGCCATGTTCCAGCAAAACACTGGCAAAAGCACTCGTATACGTCAGGTGGAATATTATGAGGAACCACTGGAAGTTGGTGAACCGCCGAAGGAAGCAGAGGAAATAGGAGTTACTTTAATCAATGCAGACGAAATTGCACTAGAATCTGAAGTGACACATAGCTGAAAGGAGTCTACGTTTGCTAAATTATAAGTTTATTTGTTCAAAATGATTTTTAAGAATATGTATATTTAAGTGTAAACTATTAAAATAAATCAAATATTGCGGAGGAATAGCGATAGAACACGAAATAATTATTAAACGCTGTTTTGCTTATCATAATTACTTAATTAAGTAGCCTAGACATGTATGAACACAAAAAGAAAATAAAAATTCCTGTTTTGCAGCTCGTCAATTTTCAAATTCAAAATCCCTTAGTATACATGAACACAACGTTCACCTCATCAAATTAGAAGACCCAAAACATGAATGTGACATTTGTGAGCGTAAATATTTCCAGCAACGTGATCTTGCTGCACATATGCAACGCGTACACCTCGCGGAACGTAAGCACATTTGCAACGTATGCGGCAATGCATACAAGAGTGCATGGCAATTAACCGCACATAAGCTATTGCATGCAGAAGAAAAATCCTTCCAGTGTGTACACTGCGAACGTAGATACATACGACAAGCGGATTTGAGTGTGCACATGCGTACGCATACCGGCGAGCTGCCCTTTGCTTGCCATTTGTGTGATAAGCGTTTCGCCATCAAGGTGCGGCTAACCTATCACTTGCAACGACATCAAGGCATTAAACATCCATGCACATATTGTGATAATGTTTATGACAATCGCAATCAACTGAAAGAACATCTATACAAGCATACTGGTATGCCATACCGTTGCGAATTGTGTCCCGATGTTGGATTTACGCGACGTTTGCGGTAAGCTTTTGAAAACGAAATTGGAAATATTAAATACATTACATTTATTTATTTACTTTTAGGTTTTCCGGTCATATGCAGCGTGTACACAATAAAAACTTGTCAGACGAAGAGTTGGCGGCCGTTTTCACAAAGTACACAGGGAAGGCTATTCATTTCAACTCGAGCTTTAAATCTCAAGATAGCGGGGACTCACAAGAATTACCTGATTTTATTATAGATGAAAGTAAAGTACAATGAAGTCTGATAATTCTGGACACAGAGAATTTATCGGAACTGAAAATCAATATCTGTTTGAAATGGTGTTTGGAAAACGACTTGATTTTGCTTTTTTCTTAACTAAGCAAAACCGATTTTTCGAATCAGCTGGAAACATACTTGTGTGCAAAAACTATCAATCCCTGTACCCCAACTTGCAACAACACTGTGGTTTACTGGCTGTAAACTCCATTGTTCATGACTTTCATTTTTATCAATTGGAAAGAAATTATCACACAATTCTGTCAACGACTGACTGCTCGGTTTAATTCTGAAATGCAAACCGATAAATGGGTTTCTGCAACACCTAAAAGCGACACAAATTCCGTCTCGAAAGTGAAACCAAAATGCAAATCAATAACAAAAGTGCCTGGTGAACGAAGATATTTCCTTATTGAAGTATGCAAACGACTTTATAATAATAATGATGACACTTTCTAATCCTCATCATCAATTTTTTATTAGCTTCAAATTGTATGAATGAAAGTTATTTTACATATGTACATATCCTTATAATGAAAATCCTCTTCTCGGTAGTCTCGCACTACAAGAATTCTAATTAACTTGACTCATCGTGTTTATTACTCTGATCTTCTGCTTGTAATTCTAATTCCAAGCTCTGCTCTTCAAATTTCAATTCCTCCAAAGTTTTCACATGCGAATTCCGGCCAGTGTTCTCTCTGAACATATCATTGTATTCTTCATTAGTCAACGTCATATTATGCACACGATGTAAATGTTTTCTAAGACTATAGTTCATAAAAAAGATACAATTGTGTTTATATATATACGATAAGAATATATAATACCATAGAAGACTTACTTATTTCGCTCCGCACAAGCATAATGGCACAAGGAACATCTGTACGGCATACCAGTGTGTTTGTATGAGTGATTTTTCAATTGTTTAATCTGATTAAACTCTTTGCCACATTCTTTGCACTTCCACTTGTGGCCCTCATGTTGTTTTAGATGATAGGTAAGACGCACTCTAATTTTAAATCGTTTGTCGCAAATATGACAAGCAAATGGCTCCTCTCCGGTATGCATGCGCATGTGTACTTTCAGATCACTTGAACGTATAAATTTCTTCTTACATATCGTGCATTGAAAATTACGCTCGAAATGCAATAGTTTATGGCTGTACATCAGTAGGTAACTTTTAAAAGAAACACCGCAAACATCGCAAATAAACTTGCGCTCTGAAGTGTGCACACTTTGCATGTGTTTCTTTAAATATATCGGATCAAATTTCTTTTTGCATATTGGACACGGTTCTTGCTCTGGTCTCTCGCCCAAATGAATCTTTTTCTCATGCGATTTAACAGATAATTCAGTACTGAAATCGCGAGCTGTAAAAACAAAATAAAAGTATGAAATGCATACTTAAAAAATGTGTACTAAAATAAATGTGTGGCAGAAAGTAAAAAAAAAAAAATTTAGACTTGATATTACAGAAATAGTGGAAATTTTCTACCCACCAGCAATGTATCAAAAATTTCCATTTTAAAACTTTTAACTAAATTATTACATTTAGATCAATTTTCTATATACAATTTGAATTTTGTTTTCCATTGTTCAAGTAGTGAATGGCGTCTCGACAAGTAGTTGTATTTTCATAATTTTAGCCTTATACACAAATATTTGGTATCTAAATTTGCAGTCTTTTTATTTCTTTGCTTTCTTAATACTCACGGCAAAACGAACACAAGAATTTTTTGGCACTTTTATCCGGATACTTTAATTTACTCTCTTCTATTTCAACATTAGCTGATGTGCTATTGTCATCAGTCGATGTCATATCTTGATGCTCCTGTGTTTTGTGATTGTAAAAAGAAGTTCGATGTTTAAATAGTTTATCACAAAATGGGCATGCATAGAGTTTTGTACTGTTGTCCTCCTTATCTGAGTGTTGATTGCTTTCAGACTCCATTTCTTCTCGAATGGTACTCTCTTGTTGCTCCTGTCCGCCTTTAAATTCTTTCTTTATACTCCTAATGGTTCGATCATGTATACGTCTTAAGTGTGCCCTATATGAACATAGCTTTTTAAAGCTCTTTAAACATATTGGACAGTTAAACTTGCATTCTTTGGTGTGGTCAGCTAATTCTAGTATGGATGGAAAACTCTTTTCACAAGATTCGCAAGGGAATTCCGAAGTATCAGAGGTACTCTGACCGAGGGATCTATTCTGTGGAAAATATTTTTTATGTGCATCCCAGTGTCTGTTCTGAAAATGTTTAGGCAACTCTTCTCTTTTAAAAGTTTGTCTGCACCAATTGCATTGCATTGGTGATTCTGTGGCATGTACAAGATATTCATGCATCTGCAACTCGTTAGGGAACTCATAAACTTTTGGACATTTTAAGCAGAGAATGTGGGCTATATAAAAAAGATCAAATTATATAAATACGAAAAATAGTGTTAAATTATACAGTTAAAATTTTTTTTTAGTTTGTCAGAGCTTACATTTGTGCATCTGAAAAATATGTTCTTTCAGTTTGCTTAGAGTAGTATATTTGTAATCACAGAGAGAGCAGCCTGTATGTACTACTCTATTATTTTTTGAAATCACAATGTCCTTTTCTTCTTCATCACTTTGCATTGAATAATCAGAATCAAGATCCACAATGAAATCGTTGTCCGCACAGTTATGTTTTACTGAACCTTTAGAATTATCCTTTGTGATAGAAACATTTTTATCATCGCCGTCATTTATTCCGTCTTCCGTGTCTTCATCATTTCTTTCTGAAATCAAATTCAACTCTGTTACTTCAAGTTCAGAATTATTGTCGTCTGCTTTCATATCATCTTCATCTTTTCTTTCTGAACCCGTATCCAGGTCAGAACCACACTCCATAGTTGCCACTTCTTCAAGAGGGTCATATTCGAAGTGCATTATATTCTAATATAATAAAGATATTTGGAGTTTTAATCCAAAATGGTTTAATATTTGTATAGCTTATGCTTACTTACCTCTTGTTGCCCGTTGGCACCATGATTCTTTGCTTTCTGTTCTGCCAGGATTTTCTTCAGCTTTTTTTCAGTCTGCTTAGCTTTTCTAATAAAATTGTAGGCATCTTGAAGGTGTTGTGCGCAGCTCCTACATAAAATTTGAGGAAGTTCATCACCCAATTCCGCCCGTAGTTGCGTGCATGCAGTGAAGTAAGTAAACAACGTTTTAGCGTCAGCCAATACGCTATAATTCAAGTTCACAGCTCCTTCGAAAATCACTCGCATACAAGCCCGACAATATGTTTTTATAGAATTTTCATTCATTTTAGTCCTAAATTAAGCATAATAAACTAATTATGCTAATGAATTTTCGTTATAATTACAAACAAACAAAAAATTCTGAGTTATTTGTTAATATTGCAAATAACATAGCGATGAAGCCTAACTCTAACGATACAACGCTATTATCGATTCCCTGATATTTGCAGTCGGTTTGTTTTCAATCAGGGCTGTTACAAAATCAGATTTGAAACCGGCTACATACTCGAAAAAGAATTTGTGTGGATTTGGTGCGTTACAGAAATGATTTAATCGCTGGAATACGGTTCTTGGTGTAAAAATGGTCACGAGCTCTCCGCTTCCGAATTGTCGTTCCATTCATCATAAGGTAAACACTGTATGTCGCGTTAAGAAGATATATGAGTCATTGCCCACACACCGTTTATAGGAGCCTCCTGCCACAACCGCAGTGCCGCTACAAAAGATTGCTCTTATCCCTTAAAATTTTGAGCTTTATTTTCTTTTTGGTTTCCCGAAATTCTTCTATCATCGAAAATACGATCACTTCTAGTCATTTAATTTTTTATTAAAACTTACAAATGTGTTAAAGCCAGTATAAAAATTAATTTTTTTACACAAGTATGTTTTCAGCTGATTCGGTGAAATCGGTTTTGGTTATCTTCGACAAAAATAAAAATTACCCCGATTTCATTATACCTTTCGAAACAGATATTGATTTTCAGCTTCGATAAATAAGCAATTCATTGATAATCATTAGGTGTGTTCGATAAGCCCAGTAAAACCACATAATTGCCTTAGAGCAAAGTATAGAATAATGTATTCTTGTTATATTTGAAATTAATATTTTATAAAATATTATAAAAAAAAAAACTAACAACTCTTGCTTTGCAAACTAAGATGTATACTTATATAGTCTGTATTAATTTGACTACTCCTGTTCCACCGCCGATTGTAGTTCCTCCAGAGTTTTCACATGCGGAAATCGGCCAGTATTCGCCTTAAACATAGCACAATATTCATCAGGAGTCATTGTCATATCGTGCATTCGCAGCAAATGTTTCCTAAAACTGTAAAAATATCGTTTTATACATACAAACATATGTACATGGTATAAATTGATAATGAAGTACTCACACATCACGCTGCGCACATCCATAATCACACACGGAACATCTGTATGGCATGCCAGTGTGTTTATATGAATGGATTTTTAACTGTTTAACGTGATTGAACTCTTTGCCGCATACATTGCATTTCCTTTTAATGCCGGCATGACGCTGTAGATGATAATTTAGACGGACTTTCATTTTAAAGCGTCGATCGCATATATGACAAGCATAAGGCTCCTCCCCAGTATGCATGCGCATGTGTACTTTAAGATCAAAAGAGCGTATGAATTTCTTCTCACACACAGTGCATGGAAAATTACGCTCAAAATGCAAACGTTTATGACTGTGTAGCAGAATGTAACTTTTGAAGGGATCGCCACACACATCACAAATGAACTTACGTTCGGAGGTGTGTACATTTCGGATGTGATTTCTTAAATATTCAGGATCAAATTTCTTTTCACAAATTGGGCATTGCTTTGGTTCAGGTTTCTTACCCAAATGAACTTTTTTTTCATGTGATTTAACGGTTACTTCAGAATTGAATTCTCGAGCTGTTAAAATCGAAAAAGGAAAATTAATGGAAACACATCTGCACACTGCTTGTTCATTCGAAGAGACAGTTTTTCATGTAATCTGACTTTATAATTAACACAATAACATTCGTTTATTAAATACTTACGGCAAAAAGAACATAAAAAGTTTCTCTTTCTGTTCATTGCATAAATATGTCGTTTCTCGTGATATTGTATTTTACTTCCTTCCACTTCTCTATTACAATATTTACATTTAACGAAGTCCGGATATTCACTCTCGATTTCCTCGTTGCCATTAATTGTACTGTTATCTCTATCTCCAGATTTTTCTGACATCATATTCCGATGTTTCCGTGATTTGTGACAGTAAACAGAAGTCCGATTTTTAAAACGTTTATCACAATATTCACAAGCATATAATTTTGTGTCATCATCAAAATCATCTAAGTTTTGATCATGTTTAGATTTCATATGCCCTCGAAGTATACTTTTGCGTTGATACTGTCTGGGACATAATGAGCATTTGAATGGCTTATCTTTTATTTCAGTTCCATCTGACGAATCTTTTAGGCTTGAAACTGTACGATTATGTATTCTTTTTGTGTGTGCCCTATATGAACCAGCCTTTTTAAATGTTTTCAAACATAACGGACAATCAAATTTGCATCCTTTTGTGTGATCAGCTAATTCAAGTATCGAGGAAAAACTTTTCTGACAATACTCACAACGAAAATGGGAAGTATCATCTTCCTTTGTACCCCGAACTCTCATTCTTGGAAAGTATTTTGCATATGCGTTGCTATGTCTTTTTTGAAAATGTTTTATCAAATCGTCTCTAGGTAAAGATTGTTTACACCACTCGCACTCAATAGGTGATCCTGTTCCATGAACAAGATATTCATGGATTCGTAACTCATCAGGAAACTCATATACCTTCGGACAATTCATACAGAGAATGTTGTCTATATTAAATAAAAAATAAATACAGGAACATTAAAATATGCAAGTTATTCCAATATTAATGATATTCTTACACTTATGCAACTCGAAAATATGATCTTTCAGTTCTCCTTGAGATTTACACTTAAAATCACAAAGCGAGCAGGTGACGTTTTGTAATCTCCTGGCTCTCGATAAGTCATTACAGTTTTCTTCTTCTTCTTCACTTGACAATGTGTAGTCTGAGTCATCTCCTTCAATGGAATCGTTTTCATTTTCTTCCACTTGTATTGAGGATTCCATATTTCTATTTTCTTGAATGGATGACTCTTGATCATCTTTCAAAATAGGAACGCTTTCATCAATATCACGTTGTAGCGAGATTTCCGGCACATAATTTTCCTCGGTCTCGTGTAATCTAACTTCGTCTTGCTTATGATGTTCGCCTATATTTTCGAATTCCTCCGGAATATCTAATTCTACTTTAATATCTGATAGTGATACATCCAGTTCCCGACAGCATTCAGTTGCTGAAATTTTACTTACAACAGTTGGCGGATCGGGTACCGCAAGAGGGTCCCTTGCGAATTCCACTATATGCTAATAAAAAAAATGTTTTGAAGTTTGTATTCCTGTTGCATAGTTTTAAATGTATATGTACATCTGTATTTGCAGTTTTCATTAAAACATATTTACCGTTTTTTCTTCAGTGGTACTACAAAGAAATTCCTGCTCTGATTTTTGTACCACCAATATTTTCAGTAGTTCCGTATTTGTTTGATGCGCTTTCTTTATAAAATTATAAGCATCATAAAGATGTTTTGTGCAGCGCGTACATAATATTTGGGGAAGTTCATCTTTCGGTTCTGCTTGAAGGTGAGTACATTCATTAAAATAGTCAAACAACGTTTTGCCATCAGGTAAATCGCTATATTTTAAATTTACAACCTCTTCACAATTCACTTGCATGCAAGCCCGACAGTACATTTTTAAAGACTTTATCCTCATTGTGAATGTAAATAAAACGAAAAATAACAATATCCTACTGCCATCCAATTGATCACGATTATGTTTAGGAAACTTTGTTTGATTTATGGATGAGCGAAAAATATCGTTTATTTTTTATTGAAAGCAAAGAAAAGAGATCAAGTGGTAAGTGTAAGGGATTGAAAGACGGTGGCAGATATGATTTATTCGCTGCGCTGCGTGACAGACAGACTTTGTCGACCAAGGTGAATCCAAGCAACTGTTAAAAATTTTTCATTGCGCCAACGTAATACTAAAAGAAGGCTCATCTCTTTATGAGCATTGACTATTAGCTGATTATGGTTTCGAAATACATACTATTATGAATGATAACAGGAGTAAAAATGTGTAAAATTTTTATATAGAAAATCCTGTGACAAAAAATCTTAACAACCAATATGTTAAAGCCTACCGGGATGCAACGCAATGATATAGTTTTGTCGACCATGTCCTGTTTGATTTTTCTTTCAATTTTCGATTAATAATCGCTTATAGAACATCGGCAAAACAAGTTGTGGAGTCTGCAAATACATTTATTTTATTAATAACTAATAATAAGTACAAAAAATTTTGTTTAATTAAAATTTACCTTTATTATTTGTTATATTCAATACAAAGTGAAAAAATGCAATGTCGGGTATGCATGCAGACACAAAGTCATATTCTGATGGATATGGGGCATGCGAGCTCTGAAGATGGCAAAACGCTTTTTGACTGCTTCAATGAATGTACTCAGTTACATGCAATGGCCAACGACACATTTCCATCAATGCTTTGCAAGATTTGTGTCCAAAAAATGCAAATTGCATATAACTTTAGAAAATGTGCTCTACAATCCAATGAATACTTTAAAAAACTATTAACAAAAAGAGATGAGTCTGAATCGCTAAAAAACACCACTGAGGAAATGTTTGCCCTAGAGGTAAATAAAACTTAAATATTTTATATATCACATTCCTGTAACTTAGTACATTTTAATAGGTAATAGAAGAAAATAACGATGATCCCTTAAATATGGATTTCGATGAAGCGTCGAGAGTGCTGAGAGAGCCAGAAGTAAAATTCACGCCGGAAGTTTATTCTATAGACAAATCTCCATACCACTATCTCGAAGAAGCTGAACTGTCAATTAATGAAGATAACAAAGAGGATATTGTTTCAAAAACCGAAATTGAAATTAATTCCACCGCTGAGGAAAATTATTTTGACCAGTTTGAAAGCATAGTTGAGAAAGAATCTGAAAGTGATGAAGGAGGATATGAAACTGAAATTGAGCCAATGGAAAAAAACGCATATGCTTGTGAAATGTGCAAAGGTACTTATGCATTTAAGGCCGATCTGAGAAAGCATATAGCGCAAAATCATAAATGTAAGTACAAATTAAAAGCTTTACTTTTGCTCTGAGAATTTTAATATATGTATAATAGTATATGTATGTATTGAATTGTACTTTAGCTGCAATAATTTGTATAAGTTGCTCAAAAGTATTTGATATGCCAGATGAATTGAGAATCCATAAGAAACTAGTACATGACACCGATTCCCCGGTACTATGTGATTTTTGTAAGGATAAACCAATAATGCCACGTAGTGAGATTCGTACACACTTTAAAGAGCATCATAGCAGCCGCTATTTCAAGTATTTTCCACGCATACGAATAACACGAGCTATTGGTTCTGGAGAGCCTACAACATACAAATGCAAATATTGCTGGAACATTTTTACAACCGCTTTCGAGCTAGAAGACCATGTAAAAACCCATATATTCAAATGCCCATTTTGCTCAAAGAATTTTAGTAGAATACGCACTTACTATAATCATGTAAAACGTTTGCATAATTGCTCTGCCAGCAGTTATCCACCAACACCATTTGTAGTCTATGGTCCTGACGCGGAAGATGAAAAACCTATTTATTGCAAAGCATGCAACAAAACTTATTTAAGGTTAGGATCTTATAACAGACATATTAAACAAAAACATAGAAAAAGATCGTTAACACATGAAACTGACAAAATTGATCTGGATAAAGTTCAGGAGAAAACGATAGATGATTTACAGCCAGTGGAACTCTTAAGTAGCCAACTTCAAATAGAATCCATTTTCCATTCGCCAGAACAGAGTCAAGTTTATGTTGAGAAACTACCTGAAATAATATCTGAGGAAAAACTGTCAGAATATCAACACTGCCCTAATAAAATTGAGGAAACTTACGATGTTACCCATACAGACGCCGGAGAATACACTGAGCAGTTACAAGAGTTAGATTATGATCCCAACGAAGATGAAATGACTTGTACTGTTTTGGGTGAAGAGGAAAATTTAAACAAAAGTTTTGAGAGGCAAAAAAAATCGATCATCCGGAAAAAAGCAAACCGTTCAAAGCAAAAAAAGAAAAATGAATATCTATGTTCATTTTGTCGTAAGTATATTAATTAAATAAATATGTAAATATGATAATTCTAATCCTTCTTATATTCAGCACAAGTACTGTCGTCGAGAACAACATTGGAAATGCACGAAAATATCAAACATTTGAATGTGAAAACTCAAGAAGAATGTCCGATTTGTAAGAAAAAATTAAAGCCAAGTTATATAAGTACACATATTCAAATGGTACATAACGAAGAACGTAACTATGTTTGCGATATTTGTGAAGATTCTTATAAAACCAAAAATCAGTTAAAGCGGCATAAAATGTTACACGATAAGGATAGTGGGTTGCCCTGTACTGTATGTGATAAAAAATTCACGGAGAGAGCAGATCTCAATGTACATATGCGCCTTCACACAGGCGAATTGCCATATGCATGTCACATATGTGATCGGCGATTTAGAATAAAAGTTCGTCTCACCTATCATTTGCAGCATCACGCTAATATTAAGAAAAAATGTAAAATTTGTGACAAAGAATTCAAGAATGGTACATCACTTCGAAAGCATTCATATGAACATACTGGTAATTTTCCTTACACATGTACCAATTGTGATTATCGCCATGTCAACCGTGAATAGTAAGTTTACTTAAAATAATAAAAAAAATAATTTAAAAAATATACTAATTTCTTGTCTTATACAGTTTTTGTAAACATATGCTGAACAAACACGGGAAGGTAATGAGCGCTGATGAATTGTTTGCGATGTTCAAAGCGAATACCGGCCGCAACCCATACGTAAAAAAGGCAGAAGACTTGGAGAACATGAATATCAATTCATAATGGCAATATAATTGATAAAAACTGGACTTACCAAGTTTAAGATGTGATATCCAATTTCTTCTTGTTGATAGGCGTAGGCGTAGTATACGCGATTATAGCCGAGTTGATAGCAATACGGCATTCCTGTTTGCCCTATTTGGAAATTTACAACACTTCTACTGGATGGGATGAATTTTTTTTTATTGGTTTAGCGTTACTTCATTGCGTGAAGGATGATTGCTCCGAAAACAATTTTTATTTTCGATAAGAAAAATAAAAACAAAAAAATTATATTTTCATTTTAAGAATTTTTTTTTTAAATTCAAAATGGAATAAATATTTTCGATGAAAGAAAATAAAACTAAAAAGCAAATAGTTATTTATGTTCAAAAACGAATATGTAGATATGTATATCAAGATTATGATTATTTTTGATAAGTAAATTTCTTTTGCATGTATACGAATATGTAGAAATTGAAAAGTAGAAATGAAATCTGATCGGAAAAATATAACTTAATTGTTAATAATTATTAAAAATAAATAAATAAAAATTTAGATTTATTAATTTTAATTTTTATAGATATTGATCACGTTTTTTTTTAATAAGATGATATTTTACAAGTAGTCAGAGTTACATAAATATATTTGCATATCTTCGCTGTTATGACATATTATTTTACATAAATGTATTGTATATATGTATGTACAAAAAAAATACGTGCGAAATTATTTTGAAATCCCTCCATCTTGAGAGTTTTCAGTCAGCAATTCTATGTTTAAGACACCTTTTACATGTGGTGGTCTACCAGTGTTCGATTTATACATTTCAAATAATTCACGAGCAGTCATTTCTTTCTCATGTTTGTGTAGCATATGTTTCATGAAGCTGAAAAGAATACAAAATTAATGCCATTTCTAAACATGTTTTTAAATCTACATACTATTCTCGTTTTGGGCTACCATACCCACAAATAGTGCACGTATAAGGCATCACTCCACTATGTACATATAAATGGTTATGCAGTGATTTGGGGTGTTTAAACTCTTTGCCACAAACTTCACACTTTAGTTTGGCATTATCATGTAGTTTCAAATGATAAGTGAGATGCCCCCTAATTCTAAATCGCTTATCACATATATGGCAAGAGAATGGCATTTCTCCTGTGTGTAGTCGCATATGTACTTTGAGTACAGATTTTTCAGTAAATCTTTTATCACACACAGTGCAAACAAAGTTGTAGTCTTTAGTGTTGTGCAAAAGTCTATGTCGAGTCACTACATCTTTCGTCTTAAACGTGCTTCCGCAAATATCACATGCAAATTTACGTTCCGCCTTATGTACAACTTCGATATGCCGTCTTAAGTAGGCTTTCAAAAAATTTTTCCCACAAAATGAGCACTGGTTAAGTTCAGGCTGTACATTTAAATGTAGTGTTGCTTCATGCTTCATCAAGCCTCGTTTAGATGATAAAACTCGGGCTAAGAAAAAAAAAAAACAATAAATTTTTAGGTAAAGCATACAGACGAAATTCACTTACGGCAAAATGAACATAAATAGTTTTCCTTTTCCTTGGGCTTTGGACTGTCTGCCTCTTCCTCCATCGCAGTTTCCGTAAGTTCAATTTGCCTTTCTTTGTCTCTATTTGCGTTAATCTTTTGATTAATCTGAGTTGGAATGTTATTAACCATAGATTTGTTTTCGAATTGATTTTTCGAATTTTTTACCGAAGAATCAAAGCCATGTCTCTTCACAGCATGTCTGCGATAATGACTGACAGTGCTATAGGATATATTGCATAATTTACAGTATATTCGTTCATTATCTCTTCTTTCGGCACCTTCGATAAGAACTTGTTTCGCTGGGACCTCTTTGTGGTGCAAACGTTTTAAATGCTTATAATAATAACCTGCACCGATACAAATTTTCGGACAATCTGTACATTTAAATATATGTCTCTTCATATGATTTTGTAGTTCTATATCAGATTGAAATGCATCACTGCAATATTCACATTTGTAATGTGTAAAAGCCTCTGAGTAGCTATCTAAATATTCCGCTTGCCCTTCAAACTCTTCAGTAAAAATTTCTTTTTCTGCCGACGGTTTCCGATTTAAGGTAGTAACTTCGCTAAAAATCTCAGTGCTACAATTCTCATATTCCGAGTTACTGATTTCGTCTGCCATATAATCCAATTGATTTACTACTTTAATCTTGATTGATTTATCGTTATAGACTTGCCTTTCCACATCTAAGTTTGATTCTGATTGAACGCTATCCGCTGATGAACTATTATCCGAAACTATTTCGGATTCACTGCTGTTCTCTGCCGTCATATCTTCCAATAGGAGTTCTGAATTACAACTATCATCCGGAATCATAATTTCCAATTTTACTTCGTTACGTATATCAGTCGAAGCTACGTCTACACGCTCTGGAGATTTTAATGCCTTCAGAGCATCGTTAAACTTCATCTCTAGTGGGTCGGCGGATTGGTTCTCTACGAACTAACGAAAAAATGTGGGTAAGTTCTTAATACAAAATATGTTACATTATTACCATAGAATTTGAAGATTCTCTATTTAGCCCGGATTTTATATGTGGTAGTTGTAAAAGAGACTTTAATTCTTCATTTGATTGAAGTGCACATTTTCTAAAATCATAGGCCATGTGTAGTTTTTGAGTGCAATTCTTGCACAATGTTTTCGGAAGTCCATCACATGCCGAGGTATGCAGCTGTGTACATGCATTGAAGTAATCGTAAAGTGTTTCTCCTTCCTGCGAGACCAAAACGTCCATTTCAATTAGGATATTGCAATTCGATTGCAAACAAGCACGGCATTGCATTATGTAGCAATTTTTAATATTTGTGTACACTTCTTTTTGTTTTGTTGTAACGTTACTTCTTCACCGCCTAGTAGGTGAAAACTTCTACTGGCAGTTTTTATGTTTATTATGGCACCAAAGGTGTAATTGTAATGTTATTAATCTATCGACAACAAGCAGAAAACTCGATAATTATATTATTACTGCTTAGCTTTACGTACTGTTTCGAACAGCATCCAAAGTGATAGAAAATTTATGTAAACAAAAAATTACGTTAAGCACCTCGGCGGAAAAATCTAACATCTTTTATTGAATGAATTCATTCAAATAAAACTATTGTTAAATGCAGTAAGCCTTGCAAGTTTTTTACACAACACTCATATGTTTACTTTGCCCTCTTTTCTTAGTACATTATTTCGTGCAGTCCCAAGAACCCCAGAATTTATCAATGGAGGAAAGCCGTTCTATTTTTTTCTTTTTTCTTTCAAAAAGCATTTGAAGAGTTCGCGAGTACTAGTAATTTTTTTTATATTGCTTCGAAAAAAATTCGTATTTTAATCCTTATACCCGAGTTATGATTATAATTTGAGTGTAAGCTTAAATACCTACTATTATACTTACCGTATTTAATAGACAATTCAAAGAATTTATGTAAGGGACAAAAAATTTAATATATTTAATATTAAATGTTTTCTTATAAGAAATTACTTCCGAGTTCCTCCATCTTTAACTAGTCAATGCGCTCAATTATCTTTGCATAGAGTGGCCTACCTGTATTCGATTTATACATTTCAAATAATTCCTCAGGAGTCATTTCTTTGTTGTGCTTCTGTAGCATATGTTTTGTAAAACTGCATATGTATATAGAAACAATACAATATTAAATTCTCAAATTTTTTAAATAGTGCTTCGATTAAACTTACTATTCGCGTTTTACGTTTCCATACTCGCAAATAGTGCAAGTATAAGGCATCAATCCACTATGCACATATAAATGGTTTTGTAGTGATTTTGGATGTTTGAATTCTTTGTCACAAATATCACATTTATGTTTGGCATTAACATGTAGTTTCAAATGATAAGTGAGATGTCCTCTAATTCTAAATCGTTTTTCACATATATTACAAGAGAATGGCATTTCGCCTGTATGCAAACGCATATGTACGTTAAGTGCAGATTTCTCCGTAAACCTTTTATTACATACAGAACAAGAAAAATTGTGATCCTTTGAGTTGTGCAATAGTCGATGTCGGGCAGCCACATGTTGGGTTTTAAACATTCTGCCACAAATATTACATTTAAATTTACGTACTTCATTGTGTACAACATCCATATGCTTTCCAAGATAGTCTCTCTTGAATGTTTTACCGCAAAATGGACACTGGTTCAGATCAGGTTCTATTTTTAAGTGCTGTTTGGCTTCATGTTGTGCTAAGCCTCCTTTAGATAGTAACACACGCGCTAAAAGTAAAATTATAAGAATTTTATTTTATGTATAGTCACAATTATATTACTTACGGCAAAAAGAACATAGATAATTTTTCTTTTTCTGAATCTTTGTAATACAATCATTTATCTCTACGCCACCTTGGCTTATTTCTTCTTGCAAAAAATAATTGTTAGTCTTTACTGTGTAGTCTTTTTGTATGTCATTGACTCCATCTTTATTAGTATCTTTTTTCGTAAAATCGAAGTCATGTGTTTTAACAGCGTGCCTTCGGTAGGCCCCAAGCGTACTGTAGGTCATATTGCACAACGTGCAGACTATCCTTTTATCTTTATTAATTTCGGCACCTTCGACTAGAATTGGTTCAGCTGAAGCATTGCTTGAATGCAACCGATTGAGATGCTTTTCGTAATAAGACATGTTAATACAAATTTTTGGGCAAAATTGGCATTTAAATATATGCTTTTTGACATGATCATGCAGTTCGCCATCGGTTGAAAACTCGTCACTACAATACTCACATTGGTATGGTGCAGTAACATTTGAATCACTATCTACATAATTTGTTTGATTTTGAAATTCTAGTTCATTTAAGGCACTTGCTTGCGACTCACTAAAAACCTCTGATATCAAATCATCTTCATTGTCAGTGTTACAGCTATTGTCTTGCATTATGTCATCCGGTTGCATATCTGAAGTAGTTTCATCCTCCGGCCTCAGATCTTCCAATATTATTTCTGCATTATAACTATCTTCCGGAACTAGCTCCCACGTGTCAAGCGATGTTTCACCTAGAACCTTATGCTGTTTTACTATTTCTATCGATTCACTAGGCTCCATTTCCAATGGATCGGAGGTATGTTCTTCTAAATCCTAAACAACTTATAATATAAATAACATTAACATCATATAAAAAAATAATTACATTGGCATTAACAAGCTGCAGCGATTCCGTCTTTGTATTTGCTAGTTTGAGTATTCTTTTAAACTCTTCATTGGACAAAAGTGCACATTTTCTAAAATCAAAAGCTATTTCCAACTTTTTGGTGCATTTCTTACACAGTGTATTAGGCAAGCCGTCATTTGCTGAAGCACATAGCCGCGTGCAGGCATTAAAGCAATCGTAAAGTGTTTCTCCTTCATCTGATACCAAAAGGTCCATTTCTATTAGACTATTGCAATTTGATTGCAAGCAAACACGACATTGCATTTTTATTAATTCTCAGCTTGCATTAAACTGTTTAAAATTTTCAGTAGTGAATTTGGTTTAATCAGATTTATCGATAACTTAATGTTCGATTTTGATATATTTATTCAACAAAAAAATAATAATAATAATTTAAGATGTTGTCAAGCACAGCAATTAATTATTATAGAATTGTAGCGTGTTCTCACAAGTTTGGTTGCGACAGGTGACAAAGAATGTCCGAATACGTTCACGAATTATTTTACTTTAACAACAAAGATACCCTTTTTACAATTGAGAGCATTTACTTTGAACAGACCTTCGGACACAGACTAAAATGCAAATTCACGTTTTGCACTATTTTTAAATCCAGGACCGAAATCAATCAATTAGTTTCATAGTTTCAGATAGTCTTTTTACTTCATTTCAAGCTGTCTTCTAAATTATAATGATTTCACTGTGTACAAAGTAGAGTATAATTTTTTAAGTGCATATTTATTAAAAAACGAATATTGTTATTTTGTTTCAGTCAAAATTATACAAAGATAAGTTTACAATTAATTGAGACATTTAAGCTTAGTATTAAAAATAATTATTTAGTTAGAATTACGAATACTTAAAAAAAATATATTTTGAAAAGAACTTACATAAATACATATTCACAAAACTACATCCAATGTAATGATCATGATGACACTTATATTAAACTGGTTTCAAGTGTTAATTATATTGTTTAATATAATACTGTTAATTGATAAATACCATTTTCATATATAAATCTGAATGATATCCTTACTGTTAGTCATTGTTGGCTCTAACTACTCCAGTGTGACCTACGTATATGTGTTTATATCATATTATTAACCTAAAAGCCATAGAGAAGCTCATTTTTTCTGTCGCCCAGCAGTAATATTTTGCGGTAGAGCTTACATTTTAATTATTTTTCTTCTTCGGTTTTTTGGGATTACGGGAACGAGATTTTGCTTTGCATAATGGACAAATTGGAGCATTACGATGTATTTGTTGATGGCAAGAAAGACACGATTTCATTGGTGGCGGTTGTTGGCGTAGATTGACGTTAAAATCAGAACGGAATGACGGATGATGTCCAATGCCAATTGATGGAGATTGCTGCAAGCGCGATGTAGGTGGGGGAGGTGGTGGCGGAGCAGAAAAGTCAGTTTTACCCAAACGAACAGCTGCCGCAGCGACTGCCGTTCCAGCACCAGGTGGGGCTGGTGGCATAAAAGCATGACCCCCAGTTGGCCCAGTACCACCACCAGTTGGTGGCAACGCTGTGACGGTAGCTTCTGGTATTAGAGGATGCCGGGGATGAGGTCGTGCCAAGGATGCAGGCTGTGCAGCGGCAACAGCAGCTGCAGCAGCGGCGCTAACTTTCAAGAAATTGGTTTGGAATCGGTCCTTGGAAATTGGGCTGCCTTCTTCTTCATGCAAATCACGTAAAGGACTGAGTCCCAAGTAATCACGACGCATATGGTCTATTTGATATTTCAGTGCTAGATAATCTTCATAAACTCGATTTGCCATATCAACGGAACGGGTCTGATTTTCTTTTGTTTGCTTAATAATATTTTCCATATCGTTTATGTCTGCATGTATTTGTCTTAGCTCTTCGACGTGGGACATTTTTTCTTCCAGCAAATGCTCCATTTCTTTGCGATATTCATCAAGACATTTTTCTTCGTCATCACTTATTTTAACTTCTTTGATAATTTTCAACTTTAACTTTTCTAAAGCAATAGTTTTGTCACGTATATCTTTTATTGCCTCAAGTTTTGCATAATAGTGGCGCTCATTGGAGCTGTTTATATCGCTGGTGGCCATTTTTTCCATATACCCCTTTTTTGTTTGCGTTGGTCGATGATGGGGGGCTGTCGTTTTTTATTTATAATATAACACTTCTCAAAGAGATATTGTAGGAATCTGTTAATTAACTCAAGCGAAAGTCTTTGGCTATTCTTTTATTAGCATATTTCACAAGGGAAAATAGTTTATTTATTTCTTTATCATAAATAGTTTATTTAAACCAGATGAACTAATATTAGACTGTCTAGCGTTGTGTACAAAATTTAGCTTCTTCTTTAAGATTATTCATTCACCATTATCTCCTTAGTTTTTATTTAAGATTTGCAAAGAACGTATACGTTCTTTGACATTTGTAAAATATTTAAGTGGATTAGAATCAAAGCAGTATAATAAATATATATTTCAGATTATTTTACTTGCGCCGCTTTGTATTAAGGATTATTCTATTTTATACGAATATTATTTTTATTTTTTGTATAATAAATAATTTTCGATGAAATCTGTAGACTTAAATAATATTTATAATAAATACGACTTAGTAAATAATTATAATAAATATAAGTTTCATTTGAAAAAATCTACTTGGCTTTGACGTCAATTATTCACTCGGCAACGAGACATTAAACATAACTTCCTCCGCCCTGTTGACAGATCTAATTTACTTGGTATGTGGACAATCCGTACTAAGATAAGCTGATTTGTCGATACTGTAAAATAAACAAAAGAACAATAAATCTACATCTGGTTGCACCATTATGCTTGTAGTCATAGCAACGGTGTCTGTGCCTTTAAAAAATTATTGGATAGAAGACATAAGTGCATTTGATTTGATTTTGTATTTGATGGATAACATAGAAAATTCGGAAGGAATGAACTCACCGGATATTGATGTTAGCACTGAGGAAATGCGCTGTTGTCGTGCTTGTTTGGCGGTAGGATCAGAGGCTGAGCTTGTGGATTACATCGATATGAGAGAGTGTTATAGCACCGATTGCGGCAGTATTACATTATTAGAGTCATTTAATAAATGCACGTCCTTGAATGTTATAATAGAAGATAATAGTATGGAAGGATATCCACCATGTCATTATATTTGCGGACGTTGTCTCTTAGATTTGAAGCAAGCGTATGAGTTTATAACCCGCGCGCAGTTAAACAACCAGCTATTAAAAGTACAATATGCACATTCCAAATCTACAACAAAGACCGATGATGAGTTGCAAGGCACAAAAAGCGAAGGTGAATCGGTGAGAAGTCAAAACTTTGATATCGTATTCACTGTTTCAGAGAATGAGGAGGAGGAATTTGGTAAAGAGGTATGATTTTAATTTTGTGTTTTTAATAGTCTTTGTACTTAGATAAACTATATCCTTCAGGAATGTACTATCGCAAACTCATCATTGAATTTAATTAATGAGAGCAATGTACCACTTAATAATAAGGAACTTTCATCAACCACACTCATTAGTGTGGAACGAGTTTTTTACAACGAAAGAGGTGGTAAATTACAAGCGGCTGCGGAAGTTTCAAAAACGAATCATAAACATTCGAAAATAACTGGCGAAGAGTACTCAAATTTAGATAGCGCACTTAAAGCAGGATTTGAGTTTAAATGCGAATTTTGCACTGCAATATTCGATTTTCAAAGAGATTTGCTGCAACACTACGAAGTGGATCATGGTATGTAAAATAATAACTTTCAGATACCCGTAATATTTGGATACCTTGATTTTAGCTGAAAAGACACTGAATTTCCCCTGCGATTTATGTAAAAATCGATTTGTGACGAAGAATGCCCTACGTTTACATCGTCGTCAAGTGCATCAAAAAGATGAATATACAGACTGTGAGCACTGCGGACGTACTGTATTGAAAACGTTCTATAATGTGCATTTAAGGCGTCATCAGCAACAATTTCTATGTAGCAAATGCCGTAAGTATTTAAAAATATATATTCTGGATTTTTATTTGATATTGAATCCAGGGCGAAATACATAAAATGCCTGTTAATTTCATGAATGGACTAAGCAAAATTTTATTTCAGCAAAAATATGTGCTTCACGCTATACACTTAAAAAGCATATGGAATTGCATTCGGAAGAACGTGATCGTAATATTGAATGTGGGGATTGCGGTAGACGTTTTTATACGTTAGAGAATTTGCAACTACACCAAACCATACATATTTCACCCGAAGATAGAGCAATATTTGAGTGCACTGTTTGTTCAAAGACATTTTTGCGTAAATCGAACCTTGGCTTACACATGCAGATGCACAGGGGAGAAACCATGGATTGCCCGCATTGTAATAAACAATTTGTTCGACGTAAGGATCTCGAAATACATATACGGTTTCACACTGGTGAATTTCCTTATGCATGTACGATGTGTGATCGTAAATTTGCCATTAAGGGACATCTTAACTATCATGAAAAACGTCATCTGGGTGTTCGATACAAGTGTGATGAATGCGAGAAGACATTCATAAATTTAGCAGGTCTGCGGCAACATCAATTCGAACATACTGGTATGCCATTAACGTGCAACGTGTGCAAACGAGGTTTTCCAACTAAATTTAAGTAAGTAAATATATTTATTTGCCAACAGTTATTCCATACAATATATTATCATATTTGTACGTTCATTTTACTCATATCATTTTTTTACGTGAATCGAGTTTCTCGTCGATTGCATTGTCATCGTAATTAATCAGCTTTTTGAAAACACCTCAGATAATATAATTATTTTGCCTAGGGTTCGCCGTCACTTGCGTACTGTGCATCAGCATCTATTCGAAAAAACTGGTTATACTGATGCTTTAGCAAAAAAATACATAACCATAGACACTTCTTCTAACAAAACAGATAAGAAAAGGATTGCTTGTGAAAGTGTACTTGAAGATACGATCGAAATGCTGGAGGAGCATGCAAACGATATTCCTTTAAATATGTTAGCAGCTTAGTAGTCAATTTGGTGCCGAACAGAAATAATAACCGATAGGACAATTTACAATTATGCCAAATTTAATTTAAATATTATTTATTATAGACCTACATACAGTATTAAATTGTAATGAAAAATTATGTTAAAAACTGTAGAAATTATCTTACTTAAAATAAGGAATAAAAATAAATCTATGCAAATTTGTGCTAGCAAACTTATTTAGCAACCTTCCAACTCAGATGGTATTGTTATGCCATTGTGTGCAGCAAATTGCAGCAGAGCCTTATATTTGTTTTTCCAGTTGGCTATATCTCTTCGACATTGTTCATTATCTTCATTCATAGTTTCTAGCTCAACCCATTCATGTGATTTCTCGGTTTCTAAAACATCCTTTTGCTCGATACGTTTAATTCGACAACTAGCCGCATAACCACGATTTTTGAGTGTACGACGACGTTGTTTCATGCGTACAACTTCTTCGCGATTCAGGCCGCGTGACTTCAAAGTGCGATTGAGGTCTCGCACAGATATAGAAACTAGCTCATCGTCGCTTATGTCTGGAATGGGGCATGGTGAAAGTGGAGCCTGCGAATCAAAAACAAATATATAAATACATATAATAATATTGTTATTTTCATTATGCTATGTCTATAACTTAAGTATTAATTTTTTTTGATAATTTGCATTTACGTAAATTTGTTGCGTTACCATTGATGATTTCCTTTCACGTCGTTGCTGCAATCCATCCATTGTTATGTTTTTTTTTGCGATTAGTCAATGTGTTCACGTTCAAAGAGAGCAACTATTTTATTAGTTAGGCCTTTAATTTAAATAATTTGTATAATTTATTGGAAATGAAATAAAGATTGATACCTGTTGAGGAATTACTTTTGTAAATGTTTTTAGGAATGTAGAAATTACCAGAAATAAAAACTCAGCAGTTTTACACTTTTCTTTATAATGCGGATTACAGGGTTGCTGCTATTCAATTAAATATTGTGGTGAAATAAGAATAGTTCACCATTGGCCAGTGCTATCGTCTTTCTAAAGTGGTAGATAACATCGGTAATGCATGACGAGTATGAAAGAAACGCAACTTCCAAAAGATGTTAGACGAGAAATCCGAGGCTTCAGGTTCTTATTCGAGGCGAATTCACTACACGGGTCGCAATGGTGAACAGGGCGAGTATTGGTGTTAGCAAAGGTCAGAGCATATTCAAAGAAACAGAAGGAAAACAGCTTTAAAAAAAAATCAAATTCTTTATCTAAAAATATTAATTTGTGTGAATACTTCTATTTTGTTAGAATTTTTCTCTTCAAATACAATTGGAAATTTAATTTCACTATTGGCTTTGCCTGGTATTTCGAAATCCAGCGGTCGATGGAAGAAGAAAACATTATGCCACCAAATTAACCTTATGTGAACTCGAAATGTACTGCGATCGACCGCAATAAGCACAGCCAACGTTTAATCTCTTATTCTTCTATAAGGAAAAATTATTAAAATTACGGTGCTAAGACCGGATTGACGGCCAGGAAGGTTTGCTGTGTGTTTGGAGGGATTGGGAAGGAATCATCTATTACGAGCTACTCCTCTATGTCCAAAATGTCAATTTGGCCCTCTACTGCCAACAAATGGACCACATGAAGGCAGCACACATTCAGAAGAGGCCATCTATGATCTATGATCAACAGGGCCGAATTGTGTTCCTTCAGGACAACGCCAGGGCATGTCTTTAATGACGCGCCAGAAGCTCCTGGAGCTCGGATGGGAGGTCCTAATACACCCACCTTATTGTCCGGACCTGGCATCATCTTTACCTGTCCATGGCGAACGCGCTTAACGGAGAGAGGCATGTGAAAATTGGCTCTCCGAGCTTTTTGCCATTAGGGACGTAGCTTTCTTCGAGTGCGGTGTAATGAAGTTGGCATCTCAAGCAACAACAAGTTTACGAACAAAACGACGTATATTTCAGTTAGATCGGACAAATGTACACAAAGTTATCACATTTTGAAAAAATCAATAAAGAAAAACCCGAACGAACTTTTTACTTGACCTAATAAAAAAAAAAAAATAATTGTAGAAATCGGTGTCGTTTTCAAACTCATTTCCTTTTTACATATATTTCCTCCATTTTTATGTTCTGTAAAATAAATATTAATTTATTTTTCTTAAAAATATTTTAAATAGTGTGTTTGTGGTCTTAATAGAAGAATTGAAAGAAATTTCATATAGTTTTGTTTAATTTTATTTAAAAATTTCGTGTAAACTATTGACATATTAAATAATGTCTTAAATACACTTTAGAATTATCAGTAAATTTTAAATACTTTAATATTTTTAATAATTACTTTACATTTTATCTTTGGTAAAACTTTTTGGATTTCATAGTTAAAAATAAATTATTTCTTAACGTACTATGTTACTTTCGTTTTTCAGTTATATACATATGTACATATGTATGTGAATTATTAGCAATTAATTAGGTACATGTTTTTTCCTTATAAAATAATTCGAGAACACATTAAATATGATTAAGGCAGTAAAACGCGGTTAAAAACACACTTTCGAATACATATAATTGGCAGATTACCGTAAAATTTACTCAAAAATAGTGCTTAAAAATGTTTACAGTTCCAATATATTTTCTATTGACATTTTTAATTCTATGTTGTATGCTTATCACAGATATGCTGATAAAATTTTTTATTAAAATTTCAGCCAAAAGCCATCCGAAAGAAAGTGCCCATTGGCATGTCGAACTCATGTTCAAAATCCAATATTGACTGACCACCACAATGTTGTTGCTGTTGTTGTTGTTGATAAAAGTAGTTTGTTTCCAGTTCCGCCATATTCTGTTTATGAAGCTTTGGAATTTCACATTGAAATATTAAAATCATACAAATCATTACACCGGTGACCACTACAGGGAAACACCCACTCAATCTCACAGACATCGCACGTTGCCTTAGAGTAAATAGAGAAAAAATGCGTATGCGCGCCACTTACAAGCGTTGTTCTGAATGAGAGGTTACCATTCGGTTGTTTAGTATTTATACGAAATGCCATACTCTCAACAACAAGCAATAATGCGAGATGGAGCTTTTTCTCTAATGCAATTTAACGTAATAATGTATGAATTTATTGAATGAGAGCTAATGTGTGCATACGTATGTATGTAAGCATTTCACCACTTGGCGTATTGGGAAACAATTTTATCATCGACATGCATACATACATACATTTACATGTAGTATTTTCTATAAAACTATCTTTTTTCATAAATAAATATGTATGTATGTATGACCATTTGTCTAGTGATATCAGTTGACACCTTCAGTTACAGCCAAGTAAAAGAATATTTTTTTATTGTAATTTACCTGGTCTTAGCAACACTGATAACCTTGAAAAAATCTGGTCTAGACCAATTGACACCCACGCAGCGAGTAAATATTCCGTTGGTGTGCTCCTAGAGTGAAATAGACCAATTCATTACTCCCTTGCCCTCGAAATGAGTCTGAAGAGCGCTGTGATTAAATTCCTTGAAAAAAAAAGAAGTACGCAAAAAGAAATTTTCAAAGAGTTGTCAGGACTCTGTCCCTCCATATGCGATGGTGAAGAAATGGTTTCGGTTGCTTCAACAAAAATGAGAGACCTAAGAATATGACCCCCGCCCGGGGCGCCCAGTGACTGTCCTTACCGAAGAAAATCAGCAAAGAACGAGCTGGAAGATTTTGCATGGACATTTGAATGTATGTAAGTGTTCGATAAGTAGCGACGATTGAAGAGTTGTAAAGATTTTGTGGAGTTCTGCCAAGATGATTTGGATGAAATTTACCACCGAATTGTAATAGTTGATGAAAGTTGGATTTTTCAGCATAACCCTGAGTCCAAGCAGTAGTCGTTGCAGTGGATAAAAATAGGGAAATGCCACCAAAAAGTGGAAAAGGCAGCGGGGTATATTATTCATTGACTACTTGCCAAAGGGAACTATCGTGCACTGAACGGCCAGTATTATGCTAATTTGTTGAGTTAGGCGCATAGGGTAAATGTACGGAAGAGAAGTGCTGCTTCTTCAATACAATGCAACCGTTCACACCGCCTAGGTTATGAGGGATACCTCAAAAGGTGACTTTTTCCTTTTTTCAAATTCGGAAAAGTAGTTACGGGGGCAAAGATTTCTAAACGGCAGTAAGATGAAAGCGGACGTAGAAAATCGTTTTGAAGAAAAATCCAAAGATAATGTTTTACTAACAAATGGACGGCGCTACCGTATATAATACGACACCTCCGAACGACTTATGGGTTCTTAGGAGTTTTTATTTCAAGTCAGAAATCCATTCGGAAGGCTTCACATTCACTGCCGAGGGGCGAACGCAATTAGAAAAATTAATTTTCTATAATCTGGTCTTTCGAATGTCAGTATGCCAACCACTCGGCTGTTGCGGCTGCCAATATATTATATTATATATGTATGTAAATATATTTAAACTAATATAAAGCTGAAATACGGTGGGCGCGGGCATTCTTATAATTATTCTTAATAAGAACCTAAGATTGTTTACTCATCGAGAATATAACATATGTACATATATATTTACATACATACATATGTATCTACTAAATATATGTAAATTTTGAGTAAATATTTGTAAAGAACTGTTTACAAAAACTATAATAGCAGAAGCAATTTCATGGTGAAGTTCATGTCGTGCTTTGATTGAAGAATTTTTTTACTATGTCACAGCAACTTCAACAAGTTCATTCATGCTTTGCTTATGTAAGCAACCTGCAAAATATTTTTAGCGGGAACTGCATCGAGAACTTTCAAAGCTGGAGTGCTTTTCTCCACCCGAGCGACGTGATATCGACTGCGTTGTTGTTGTTGTTGTTGTTGTTGCTATAACCGTAAACACATTCCCCAAAGTACTTTTTGCGGGAGTGACAGTGATTTATCGGAATCAAGATCCGACCGGATTTTAGTCGCCTCTTACGATAGACAAGCCTTACAGCGGGTAAATTCTTGAATCCCTAACCCGCTGGGGAGACAGCGTCTCTTAATTCGCTGGACTTTGTCAATATCGTCATTTACATATGTATGCATATTATATTGTCTGCTTCCTCCCATACGCAGAAGACTATACATATAAAACCATTCTTTCAAAGACTCAAATACGACGATTCTGCACCATAAAGTAGGAGCGGAATGAGGATCAAATTGCATAGTTTGGTCTTTGTTAGTCCAGAGAGGTCTTTACGTTTCTATTGCGTATATACTTAAGTCCAAAGTAGCACCAGAATAGATGAAATTATCTATGCCTTCAAAGCGCCGACTGTACTCTTACTACTGGACCCATTTTTTCGCTTCTTTCTCTAACCTGGAGAAAGCAGAACTAAATACGCGGTTGTGAAGACTATTTTTTTTTTCAATGATAACCACTCGGCTACCGATGCGGGAAAAGGATTGCCGACAGACAGACAATAATGAGTATAATTTTGATGTACGAATAGATCGTGTGTAGGTATGTATGTTCGCTGTCGGTGAATTGTTATTATACTGCGGCTGGCGGCTATAAGCTAATCTCACACGTTCAGCTTGAGTGCGGTCCTTGCAATTGTAATAAAAATCAGGCAAACTACAGAGAGCCACAAGAACATGTGGCCGGGTCTGGCTCCCTGCAGGTGCCAGATATTTTTAGTTAAAAATGAAAAGAAGATATTTACATGCTTACATTTGTGTGTACATATATATATATACAAATAAAAACATGCAAATTGTTTGTGTTAATGGGTGACAAACTTGGCTATAACCGTTTGCAACTTCTAAGAAATACATACAGGTATATGTATGTATGTATGCATTTACAATAAACAGTCATAAGTGGTTAATAGATGGGAAACGCGAAATTTAACCGTAAAATTTCATAGAATTCATAACCAACATGCCATATAGGAAATTCATTTTAAATGATATAGTTTATAAATAATTTTTTAT